TATCATTTTCTCAAGCCGAGATATATGCAAAACAAAGATGTCTTGCAAACATTTTTATTATGCTGAAAAATAGCTCTATTATTTAGGTAGTTCGTTATGAGTGTGGAAAAACCAACAGAGCAAGTCAAGAGGGATTTGTTTACACGAACTTTGTAGAGCTTTTCACGGTGCATCTTTTAAAAAAATAATCAAGATTTTATCATTTTGTCAAATCGAGATAAATGCAAAATACAAAATGTTGCAAAACTTTTGAAACACCCGGTAATAACTTTATGTGTTATATTTATTTTATTCATTGTAGTCTACACGAACTCGAAATGGACAATAAGTATTAGTTCTAAAGATGATTGTGTTAGAGTTAAAATCAAAAGAAAAGAAGAAAAAAAAACTACTAACTTGACTTGAATTTGTAAGATTTGTTTGAACATTTGATTGTATAGCCGTAAAAAAGAAAGCATCTTTTAATAATTCATATAATAATATTGAATTAATTGAAATTTTTTCTAATATATCATTATCATCATGTTGTAATATATTATTTAATGTTTTAATATTAAAATGATTATTTTTTGATAAAATTATATGAAATAATAATAAAATAAAATCTATATGATTAATAAATTCATGCCAATTAATAATACATTCAGCAAATAAATCAAATTCTTTTATATGTATATAATTTGTTTGTTGTTGATTAAGATAAAAAAATAAATGATGAATTATAAAACGATCATAATGAAAAAATTCTAAAAAACATTTATAACAAATTGAATCTTTTTTATTTGATATATGTAAACAATATTTTGCTAAATTACGAATATTTATATTATAATCTGATAATTGAGAATAATTATCATATGTTAAATTTCTATGATTAAAACAATTTGAACATTGTCTTAACCATCTTGTAATAATATTCATTATACATTTTTTTTCTTCTAATATGAAGAGTACAAAAATAATTTCTCTTGCGCCGTTTTAGATTCTTTTTTTTTACAAAAAAAAAAACAAATTTTTTATTCAATTTAACGACAAATAAAATGGTATTTAATCAAGCTATGTCTTATTTATTATCTTTACTTGAACGTTCAAATTTCGATTTAATTTATTTATCATGGTTATGGAATTTATTTAAACCATTATGTATGGTATTATGTACATTATTTCTTTTACCAGCTATTATACTTATATTTATGTATTGTTCATCATTATTTTGTTTAATTTATAAACATTGGAATCGGTTGAAAGTAGGTAAGTTTGAAATTTATGTATAATTTAAAGAAAAAAAATTTTTTTTTTGTAATTTTCTAGGCTGCTTATTCAGAAGATCTGTGGTATGGAGCAATAAAAACTTTAGCTGTCTTTTGGGAATTACAATCAACAATATGGCATGGTAAGACATATCTGTAGTCTATTTCGATTGGAATTCATCCTTTTTTTAAAGGAATTCTATGGCTATTCTATTTGAGTTTTAATTCAATTACAAAATTTGATTTTGAAGGAAAGAATAAATTGGTTTGTATTCGGAAAGTTTCAGACGAAATATTTGGTTCGTATATAGGTGAAAATGAGATTTAGTTGTTGGCTCAGGTTTAACAAAAATATTTTGGGTAATACATTGAATTTAATAATGATTCACTTTCATTGTCAATAAAAGATATTGCCAAATATTCCATTGATATCACTGTGAAACGATAGAAAATATGAAATTCTACATAGTGGTTTGATGAATGCAAAAAGAAAATCTTTTTTTCCAAGACTAAATAGCCTTAGAGAATTTATTACTTTTGAATGTTTTGAAACATATTTTTCCATGTCCTACAAAAATGACATAATGATCATGGTTATCGATTAGTTTAAAATAGAATGAGAAGACTTATGATTCTGTAGGCTATGAGAAGCTGCATTTCAAAACATTGGATAGTGGTCAAATCCTCTAAGACTATTTATTCTTCGAAAAATGTTTTCTTTTTTGCATTCACTAAAGACATGTACATAAGTTGAAAATATTTTGCTAGCAAATTAAGATTCTCTTTATTGAGCATTCAAGTAGATACAAATGTGATCGGTTATTTTCGTTTCAAGCTTGATAAAATTGTGACTAGTTTACTCATATCTCGATCTGTTTCAATCCAATAGAAGGCTGCTCTACGTAATGCTTATGTGAAATAATCAGCTCTGTTTAAATATATTAATTTTAAGATAAAATCTTTGCTGCTGGAAACAAATTAATATTTTACTGTCCTTTTTTTTTTTTTTTATTGTTTTGTTTTTATTCTCTAGGTTATGAAGTAGAAGGATTAGAAAACGTTCCAACTCAGGGTCCGGTTCTAATTATCTTTTATCATGGTGCATTACCTATTGATTTCTATTATTTATTTGCTAAAATATGGCTCTATCGTAATCGACGTGTACGAGTTGTTGCCGACAAATTTGTTTTCAAAATTCCTGGTATATTAATAAATATTTTTTTCATTAAAAATGATAAAAATTTCTTCTTTTGATTTTTTTGTTTCTGAAAGGACTCGCAACTCTTCTTGAAGCACTTGAAATTCAACCATCAACATCAGCTATGTGTAGATTAATGCTTGAAGAAGGTCATGTACTTGCTATTGCACCTGGTAAAAAAAAAAATCAAGAAATAATTTACTTATAAAATAATCTCTTTTTTTTTGTTTTCTATTAAGGTGGTGTTCGAGAAGCTCTTTTTGGTGATCAGAATTATCAATTAATATGGAAAGAAAGAAAAGGATTTGCTAAAGTGGCAATCGATGCTAAAGTTGTTAGTCAATTATTTTCCTTTTTCTGTGAATGATACTACAATAAAAAAAATATGTTTTTTTTTTTTTGTAGCCTATAATTCCAATGTTTACAAAAAATTGTCGAGAAGCTGTACGAGCTATGACATTGGGTCGGCGTAAGTAATGAATTTTGTCAAGTTCTAAGTGCGATTTTCAAAAAAGCTCTAATTTCAAAATTTTGCTCTAGTGAAATTTGTAAACTCTTTGATTCTCATTGTATCTTCTTAGTTACAATGACACGACATATGAGCATTGTGACACTCGAACTTGTCATAAGACATAAGTACAAAAACATATCGAAAAATTGATCGAAGTTCTTACTCATTTAAACTATAAGTCTCTTATGATGAAATGACAAACTGAAATTAGTTATTGTAATTTTCCATCAAGAATCTCATATTTCACACGTTTCTTTATTTTTGGATATAGGCGTTTGTCTTCTCTTGACTCACACCCACACTCGTCTGAAGTTTGACATCGAGCTATTAAAGTACTGTTCACTCCTTGTGTATTTTCCTCAATAGAATAACTGATCCATTTTTCTGTTCAAAATCTATCAATTTATGAATCTGTTAAAGATTTGAAAACGGAACAGTTTGTGAACATGATAATTGCTGAACAATTTCAAATTGGAATTGTGAAGCTAAACAAACGCACAAAATATGAACTTTTGGACAAGCAATTACATCAACTAATTATTTGTTTTTATAGAATAATAAGAGACTTATATTTTAAATGAGCAAGAATTCTATTCAATTTTTGATGTGAATACAAATTTATTTTCTTTAATCTTTTGTTCATATAAGACTTATCTATCAATGTATCCTCGATTATGGATACGTTTTTCTAAATTAGGATGAAAAAATGTCTGCAAAGCTGAATCGAATGACCGATTCGTCTTCTAACAGTAAATGTTTTTCAATTTTATAATTTTGTTCATACGCAGAGATAAAGTAAGATAACCTAAATAGAAATTGGGATCGTAGACTAGGATAGTTTGTGTATAATTATCACACAATCTGGGAATGATGAAATTACGCTCAAAAATTATCATGTCGGACTGAAAAGAAAGAATGAAGACTGAAATATGGATTCTGCACACATAAATCGGATGAAATTCAAAAGAAAAATATCATTTTTAATCTCGATATTCTCTTTGTTATTGATGTATCAATATGTTTGATGTAGTCGATATGATTGGTCTTGATTGTGAACCTAAAGACCGTAAAATGTTCAATTATCTTTCATTAATGATTTTTTCTTTTGAAGTTTTTGATTCACGTAATAAAGCTTCTCTTGATCATGCAATATGGACAGTTTCTAATTAGCAGTCAGTTTTGTCTTTTCTCCACTCGATTTTGCCATAATGACATTAAAAACAAAGTGTCCATAATCATTGCCCTGAAATAGTAGAGTATTGATCTAGAATATTTAATTTCAGTTTCAGAAAATTTTAACTTTTGATCGTGTACATCTCTGTTTGTCCAGTGTTTTGTATTTGATATGTTTTTTGTCTTCTTTATGTTTTATACAGAATGAAAATCTGACTTTCGAGAGTTGAACTATTATAAATTCGTAATAATCATATTAAGAATATTCATCTCGATAAACGTTTTCTTTGTCATAATTGAGAAATATATTTTCAATGCAAAGTAATTGCGCTAGACTGAATATTTTAATTCATTTGAATTTTTTTTTCGCATATAAAAATTTTAAAATGATTCAATAATAAATTTTAGGTTTATTAAGTTATATTTATGAAAAAACTCGTTTACCACTTGTACCTATTTATGGAATATTTCCAGTAAAATTAATGTAAGAATATCAAGAAATTTTTTCGATAAATTATTTATTTCTATGATTTAGTACTTATCTTGGTGAACCAATTCCTTATGATCCAAATATAACACCTGAAGCTCTTGCTGATCGAGTAAATATTGTTTTTTTTTGTTTTTGAATAGAAACTCCCATTGTGCGGGCATCTAAGTGGATATTAAGTGAAAAATTATAAGTGTACTTTTAAATAGCTTGAAGAGAGTAAAATATACTCTGACGGCTATTTCTTGATTGCGGACACTTTTTTTGTGCCAATTAAGAAAAAATGTCAGCAAAGCAGAATCCGGGAGGGGGGGGGGAAGAGACAAAAATGACCGCAAATTGGAATCAACACTAATTTAGTAGTGAAAAAAAATACCATACATGAGAAGGAAAGAAACATTTAAAAATTTTTAACTTGTTGATCATATAATAATGATATCGGTGCTGTTGGTTCTTCTTCGATCCATCGCTTGATGTATTTGATGCATTCATATACATTTAAAGATATTTTTTCTTCATGTTGAAATTCATAATTTCCATCAGCTTTTATTAGTGATGTTTTTACAATAGAACCTTCCTGTATGGTAATGGTGGCATTACATAACTTATATGTACAAATCCATACTTGACTTCCAGTTTTTTGGTTCGTCGCAAACCAAAATGATAGTTTTTAAACATTATGGCATCATTGCCAAATTGTGTAGTAATTTTAGAAAAGCTTTTACAGCTAACGATCGATATTTTCATGTAATTTATTTTACTTTATTTCAATCACTTTAAATACTTTAGTTACACGCATATGTAAAAGAATGGCCTGGGCAACACGTGACATCCATCACTGAGCTAGCTCTCTAGTAAGATAGTATCTTCTCTGAAACATGCCATCTGCGATGATCATCTCCTTGTTACTATTTTCACTTGTTTCCATAATGCGGTCATTTTTGTCTCTCCGCCCCCCCCCTCCCCGACTCTGCTTTGCGGGCATTTTTTTCCTCCAATTAAGAAAAAACGTCCGCAATCAAGAAGACACGACTCTGACAGACCAGTTATTTGATGACATAAGGATCTTTGTTACTTTTGTCAGCATTCACCGCTAGTAATAATTAGCAGCTTTTTTACTTCCGAAGAATACTATATGTAATCTGAAACTGCATCTTTCACTCTCTTGATTCATTAAAAACAAAAACTTGAATTTTTCTTTAAGACTGAATGCTTATAGAGATAAATGTGTTTAGTATAATGAGCCTGCACAAGTTTTCACAACTTTCAATTGGACGAAGCTTTCACAGAATGTTTCTTCGCTCATTATATTTATATATAAAATTAGCTTAAGTGTAATCTAGGACTAAGCATAAGATTTTCAGGAATAAAACTCATTTTTGTCGACATAAAAACGCTTTTTGTTTTTGGAATACTAAGTTCATATTTGGAATCTTTATTCAAAACTGTATCGAATGATATATAGAATGAGTTTAAAAACGAAAACATGCTTTTGTAATTAAATGAGTAGTTCAAAATAAATTCCAAATGATACAAACCGTTTTTCGGAATCACGAGATAAGGGTAAAACAAAACTTCTGTTTCGAGACTTGATAGGATCTTTAGAAGATCAGACGTAATGAAGAAGGTTTTTGGAATTGAGTCTTGCTGAAAATTTATTACAGTCGATGTCCTCAATAAGAACAGACTTTTCAGAAGTGTCAGTAATTTGCTTTTTTACTGATCAAATTTTTAAAATTATAAAGCTTTTTTTACATTTCTGATTGTAGAAATATTTGCTGCATCGAATGATGAAAAAATTATTGTATTATCTCGTAAATTAAACCTATAATTAGTGGTATTTTACAAGTAATTGAATTTGTTCTTATTAGGGTCGTTTTTTCTAATAAGAACAACAAGCTAAAAACTATTCCTAATAAGAACAGGCCATATAAAATATATAGAAAAAAAAAGTTTTTTAGTAAATGAACTTTTTCTAATTTGAACTTGAAAATATCGATATATTCCTGAAACAAAAATTTTTTGTTATTAATCATGAAGTTAAGATTTCAAGGTTCAGATTTTTGTGATTTATAATAACAGAGTTATTAAATTTTAAAAAATAACTCGTCTATTCTTGTTAGGAACAGTGTGCCCAATAAGAACAATCAGCGAGAAAATGTTCCTAATAAGAACAACCTATATAAATTACATAGAAAAAAAATGTTTTTTAGTAAATAAACTTTTTCTCTATTTAAACTTGAAAATATTTTCATGCGTCCGCATCAAAAAATCTTTGTCTATTAATGATACATTAACTTCCAACGGTTCAAGAAAAAATAATTTTTTCGTTTTTAACAATGACATGGTTTTCGAAATTCTCATATTACTGATCGAGAATATATTAGTTGAATTAAGAAAAGTCAGCCACAACTTCGTTTCAATGCAAAATATAAAAACTTTTGTGCATTTTCACATGTTCTTTGTATTATTGTGTTCTTTTTATTGCAGATAAGATGCAGAAAAATNCGTGGATATTCAAGAATCTGTGTTATAATACCAATAAATATTAAAAGAATTCCAAATATATATCCATGTATACCCCAATTTTCCCATGAAGAATTTCGATTCATTTTCATATTCGGATACATTAATATGACGTATAATGAAATAGTTCACACAAAGAAAAGAAAAATATAGACAATAATGAATATGTCTCGCGAAGTGAATTTTATTAACCGTTATGAATCATTGATCTTACACTACTTCTCATGTGAACAAAAAAAAAAAAAAAAATACGAAACATCCAATCGGATGGATGAACTTTTCATGTATTTAAAACAAATATATATATATACATTCTCTTACCTTTTGACTCAGTATAGCTTTGACCTTGTCCTGCATATGAAGAAGTGGAGACATATACATAAGCGCAAATTTAATCAACCACTGAGGAGCACGATGTCTTTCTGATGTACACATGGCAGCTTGTTGATATACGTTAGCAACAATAACAGCCATGATAACCGAAATTGACTATAAGAGCAGATGTGAAAAAATAAAACGCATTATGATAATTTATTATACTTACTGTTAAACTCATAACAATTGTCAAATAGATACCTTAATATATATGATTAAAGTTTGAGAAAAATTATGTATCAAAGAAATTTACCTATAATAGGTACTGTATCGGATGTTGCCGGAACTTTTTCAGCTACCATAAGCATGAAAACTGAAAATGCAACAAAACATGTTAAGCCAAGTGTCACCTTTTCACCAGAAGATGTTGGCAGCCTTTAATTAATGCATTACTTCTTTTTTTTTTTTTTTTTTTTTATTGAAGAAACAAAAAGGAAACAATTGACACAAATTTACTTACCAAAATGACATACATGTCAGACATGAAAGCATAGCACATGGAATTATTACATTAAATATGTAATACAATGGACGACGACGAATATGAACACCATAAACTAATTCAGAATAAGTTCTATTATTTTTTGTTCTGAAAAAAAAAACAAAACAAGGATTGAATCATATTAGGAGTTTTAATATTGACATGAACGATGTTCTTGAGAAATTCTTTGCTTAATTTATATTCAAAGTACTTGATGTGAAAGTCAGTATAATAATCTTGCAAGTTAAGTTACTTTCAAAATGGATTTTCAATGGTAATTACATCTTTTATTATCAAAAAAAGATAAATCAAATTTTAATGCTCAGATATTCAAAATTCTTTTTTTTTTTTTTGTATTTTGTAGATTATTGATTTGACAAAAGGAAAAATCTTAAAATTTTGGTTAAATTAATATTTTTTTTTCTTCATATCGAAATTCTATTCTAATAATTCTATTTCTAAATTTTCTTTTCTTTTAAACATTCAACATTAATGTCTTACATTAAATAAAAGAAAAAACAAAAAAAACTACTCTCGAATATTTATGGAAAAACTTCGATGTTATAAACTATATATAAACACATAAATTCTTTCCTTCCTTATTCTATTTATAATATAATTAAGTAATTATTTCCTTAAGATAACTTTGTACTTCCTAGACAAAAAATCGTTCTATTTTAGATTTTTAAATTAGTAAAAAATTCTAATTAACCTACCGCCATACAAGACCTTGTTTAACGTCAAGTATAGCCCAACCACTATTTCTTATACTTTCTGATTGATATGAATCATTTGAATTGGCAACAAGTTCATAATTAATTAATGATATATCATAAATCCATGATGCAAATTTTAAACCACATATCTGTCGATCAAATGGAAAATATTGAATATTTACTTTACATGTTGTACGTAATTTCATTAATACGGGAAAAACAACTTCTCCTGTATGATAAACCATTACATATGGACCTTAAATTAAATAAACAATGCAAAAAAAAAAATTAAATTCCTATCAAATATATATACCATTAACAACTCCTTGTGTTGGTGCTTGACTTGAAAGATCAAATGCAGCATTATAAATATAACTATCAGGTAACCATATACGATGTGATGGTAAACGAATACCACGTATACCATCATGTTCAGATTGGTTCCAAGCAAGATTTTCATCAATCCATTTTTGTTCAATACGTACATTACTTGTTAAGATCTGTGTTTTTTCTTCCTAGACAAAGAAATATAGATATATATATATATATATAGAGAGAGAGATATATAAATCTAATTCTTTCTTACAAGCTCAAATAATTGAGTAATTTCCATTCGAAATGAAACAGTCACTACTGCTTGAGCTTGTAATACTGGTCTTACTGATGGTTCATAATATTGTAATAATTTTCGTATAAGTTCTTGTTCACTCGTACAAGCTATTTTATTTTTTTTTTAAATTAAAATAAAAATAAAATTTTATGCAAAACAATTTATCTTACCAACATACGAAACAATAAACATGAACAAGAATACGACGAGATTTCTACTCATATAATTTACATTAGATCGACGAACACAATAAGAAAAGAAATGACGAAGAACATGATGAAAAAGATCGGCTGTCCTCGAACAATAGAATCTTATCTGAAATCACAAAAAAAAATTCTCTTTTCTTTCTCTTAAGATCATGCAAATATTCGCATTGGTTCTTTCTTTTACGATCACCATCATCATTCGCCATTTAGTGTTACCCTTTCTATCCATTTTCTCGATTGTATTTCTTTTCTCGTAGACACGATCGACACTTGGATAGAACTGAAGGGAAGACGATACAAACATCTGTCTTTACCTCGGAAGAAACAAGAAGAAGAGAGATTTATCATCCGACACCATCACTAATCTTGTTTATTGTCGTTCTATTTAAGCGAGTAGCAAAAGAAAGTGTATGTTCGGCAAATTGCATTTCATCTATCTCAATCGTTTGCTCGTATAGACACGCAACTGCGCTACTCACTGTGAAGCGCAACACACATGACACTTCCATTGACTAGATACATATATATTTATATTGAAAGGTCTGCATTGGTGATAAAAATAACGAGAAAAAGAAATGATGCCATCGACTTTGTAGACCAGAATGTGAAGCATCTGCACTAACATATGCCTTCTTCCACTCAGCATGTTATTGCTTGGAAATGAAATAAAAGTAACTTCACAACAGGATCTTATATTCTAATTTAGATATTAAAGAAAAATTCTTTTTTTAGATAGATGAAAATCAAAATAATCTCAACATAATAAGATTCATAATAGAAAAGCTGAAAAATTATAATGAAATAATTAGAGCGCAAGAATTTCGGTTTTTTGATAAATTATATATATTAAATCTTTATTATATTAATTTATAAACTTAATCAAATTATATAGTTGAAACGAGCATAACCATAATTTTATCTTCTAACAAACAATGAAGTACTTTTATTTGTGAATAATTTAAGTTTTATGTCAACAATTTACATTTGAATGTTCTTGTTTTAATTTATAGATCAAAATTGATTGATTTACGATTTCACGAGGTAATAAAAAAAAAAAAAGAAACAAAATAATTTCAATATAATTTTATATTAATGTCATCTAGCGACCTCATCCAAGCAATCATCTTGATTTGTTCATGTGTTGTAACGATGTCATACCATTCGCCATGAGAGATCTCTCTCTAACCTTCAGCAATAGAATGAAAACATGTGTGTGTGTTTTTTTTAGATGAGTTTTAATCGAATATTTCGTTCATGTTCATTCCGTCGTTTATGGTTCTCAATGAATCATATTCGTACAGTTTATACAGCACAACCAGAATCATCACCTCTTCAAATTTATCGAAATAAAGTTGAAGCCTATGAGGTTTGGTTATTAATCAATATTGTTCAAAAAAGAAACAGATGGAATCTCTTTTTTTTTTTTGTTTATGAATATTTAGTTACGTTTTGATTCACGTCAAGAACAATTAATGATTATACTTGATAAATTATATTATGATTTACAAACTTATATACCCGAACCAAGACACATTGAAACAACAACATCGGTAGATGATAGAAAAAAAAATTTCTTAACAACATTGACAAATGCTTTCAAATCATCTAATTCAACAAATGATTTCATTGAACGACCAAATTCATTGTATATTTATGGTGGTGCGGGCTCTGGCAAGGTATTCATAAATTATATTCGTTTATGTTATTTATACTTATATTCATAGAACAGAGTCTTCTTATGGATATCTTCTTTGAATGTATGCCAATCAAAGAAAAACGACGAGTACATTTTAATGGTTTTATGCTTGAATTTCATAATCGTATGTTTATAAGATTAATTTGTTTTTGTTTTTGATTATTTTAATTTAAAGGTATGCATCGAATTCGAAGTAATAATGCAGCTGTAACTGATAATCTTCTTGGTAGTGTTGTTGAAGAATTACTTGATGAAATATGGCTTTTATGTTTTGATGAATTTATGGTATTAGATATTGGTGATGCTATGATTATAAAACGTTTATTTGAACATTTATTTGCTAAAGGTATGATTATGATTGCAACATCAAATCGTCCACCAGATGATCTTTATTATCGAGGATTAAATCGAGAATATTTTGTTCCATTTATACCATTTCTATATCGAATGTGTACAGTATATAATATGGATTCATCAACAGATTATCGTTTAATTGGTACTCAGGTATAATAAATTTTAACTTAAAATAAAGTCGCCTTTCGAAACATAATCTATATATTTGCAAGTGCTAATGATGACACTGATATAGTTAAATTTGAGAGAGATCATTTCACTATGGAAAAAAAGCCAAATATGACCTATTCATCTTAAATGATATAAGAATTGAATTTAGTGTTAATTTGATTTTTGTTTTTTTGTAATTATGTTGTTAGTTTATCTGTATAAAGCGGGAAACCTACTTATCATCTTCTTTTTTTTTTGTGAAAAATGAGTCATTTCGGAAGATGACAACGAGGGTGTGACATAAAATTAGATTGTTCGTATATAGGTGAATTGCACTTATATTGTACCGTTGGCAGAAAAAAATAAAAGTAAACATTGTATAATTTGACTTGCACATTCGATAGAACTTTATTCGTTATACACAAATTGAGTATTTTCCCAACTACCAGATTTTTTCATTTCAAAATTAATTATAAGTTTAAATCGAAAATAAAATCATTTTAGAAAAACTATTTTTCATATTTCTCATAACGAATGAATCTAAGCTGATCCATGAACAGTACTGCTTTCACAGCTGTAATCAAGAAATTTTTCAAAGCTACTTGACAAATAGACTTTGTTCGTAGTAGCATATATCAACCTGAGAAACACTGATAGTATTTTGATATTTAAACAATCAATTATCTTCTGACGGTCATTTAATCACGATATATCGATAGTTGTTCTCCAACACATAAATCTTAGCAAAGGAATGATAAAAGAAAAATATTTTTTTTTTGCGAATTTATAGCTTATTGAAGATTGCATAATGTTTGGTAATTTGAAGAAAAAAAGAGAGAATAAATCGTAATATCGGGCAATTTTCCAACTTCAAATTTTAATCATAAGTCTGTAAACATCAATCAAGCAATGCGAGATGTTCAACAAGAAAAGCTTATTATCCCATGGGAAAAATCATTTATATAATGTACTCGATATTGATAAACAAGCGTATTCATCATTGATTATAATTTACATACTCTGAAGTGTCATCTGAAAAAGTTCCCAAAGCCAAAAAAAATTAATTTGGCAGAAGCACATGGAATTTTTCTAATGATTGATAAAATGATATAAAAAAAACAAAATATTCACATATTATTATAGTTGATATAGATAAAACAAATATTTCTTTTTTTGTTATAGGGGCATGTTCAAACAGTATTTGACGCTAATCTATCTGAGACAGCATCTGAATTAGATTCACTTTGTTCTCGTCTTATAGCTCCATTTGAACCTCAAACAGCAACACTTGATGTTAACGGTCGAGATATAACAATTGCATGGCAAGCACGAGGTGTTGTTAAATTTTCTTTTAATGAATTATGTGGTCAGGAATATTATTCAGCTGATTATATAGCTATTGCATCGACATATCATACATTAATATTAACAGATATACCAAAATTAAGTATTGAACATCGTGATCGTATACGTCGTTTTATAATTCTTATTGATGAATTATATAATTATCATACAAAATTAATTATCTCAATGTTTGTTCATACAGTTAAAGATATATTTAATCCATTAAAAGATAATTCACATTTAAAACGTGAAGATCTTCTTACAATGGATGAATTTCATTCATTTGATAGAACTATATCACGTCTTATTGAAATGCAATCAAAAGAATATTTAGCTAAACCTAAACGATTTAGTAATAAGAAAAATTTTTTGGATGAATGGTCACAATTACAATGATATATCTTCGATTATTTATTATCGCATATATATTTTCCTTTTGTTTAGTTTGTTATCATCAATAAACATTATTTTTTTTTTTTTTTTGACATTTGAAAATTGTAAACTTTTTAGTTTCAAAAAAGAATTAACCGAGTGAATGCATGACATTGTTCTCTTGTGATAAAAAAAAACAAACATTCAATACATTCATATTTGTCTTGACCATGTTTTCAGATATAATAAACATTATATCTACTCATATATTAAAGAAAGTTTGTAGAGCAATTTTTAAATGATAAAAAGACGGAGCTACTGAGTCAGACTGTTAGAATAAAATAATGAATGTATTGAATGAATAGAATATATTAAACTATAATTGATTTATTTTAACGGCAATAAAAAAAGAGTTACCATGCTTTTGCTTCATTGGTAAACACAATTCTCATCTTCTTTTTTCACATTTTCTTTTACGACCAACAATTGAAATTGATTACATGACACAATGTTAATATAATGAGAAACCATTTCACTAATTCAAGGCTTTCTTGTATGTCATCCCCACCACTCCGTTCTCAAAACAATCCACACAACGCTTCTATTCCTAGAGGCTAACCGCTCTGCCTCCCGTCTATACTGCTGTCGACGTCATCGACGAGATACATTCTTCGGATGTTGAAGAGATCGTCCACCCTACTTTAAGTAGCATATGAAAAAGCATTCACTGAAGGAGTACGTTCAAGTTGATTCGTAAAACTTGAGAAGTTTATGATCTTCTTGATGAATCCAGTGAGATCTTTTTATGTAACTGAAAGTCACTTTTCAGATCAAAGGAAAGGCTGCTACTCTTCAAAACATTGAAATCGACCATTTCTTTCTTTACGGGTGAATAGATCACAGTTAAATCTAGTCATACACATGCTTTTGCAACAAATAGTGAAACAAAAAAAAATTATTAAACAGTACTAATTTGTGATATTGTTGATGGTTTCGTTGTCATACCTTTTTTTCTGTGTTGCACTAAGTATCTAATAAATTCATGGTGTAGAGATGGATCAGATGGAGTACATTATGAACTACAATTAGAATAAGTTTAAGAATCTGCATGCGGCTGTCGAATGTACATGTAGACCCACGTCGCGAAAATCGCGACGATTTTTCCGATTTTCAAAAAAATCGGCGTAAAATCGCGATTAATCGTATTCTGTACAAAAATCGGCGATTAAATCAGATTTTATCGCGATTACCGTAAAAGACACGATATTTTCGAAATCGGCGATA